TAGTAATAAAATCGATTGACTCATTGTAATGCATAATTTGCATAGTGAGCAAAAGTACAACCTACTGTATTTTCCAATCTGTAATATGCAAATAGTAGTAAAATCGATTGACTCATTGTAATGCATAATTTGCATAGTGAAGAAAAGTACAACCTACTGTATTTTCGAATGTGTAATATGCAAATAGTAGTAAAATTGATTGATTTGTTGTAATATATGTGTTTTGCCTTACTCGTAGTGTAATTTATTTTGTTGAGTAAGGGGAAAGCTGTGCTAAGTAGATGTTTTGTGACAAAAAGTTAGATCAATGAAAAATATAAAGTAAGCTTAGTCAAGAAATAGCGTAGCGCATAAATCGTTACTAGCAAAACTTTTTACGCTTAAAAATACCATATATTAATCAAGTTTGAGCATATTAATGGCTGTTCGCTTGCTTATATATTTAGGTAAGAATCAAATTTAGTTGAAATTTATTTGTCAAAAATAGCGAAGTTTGCATTACTTTATTATTTATTAAAATCTCCTGACTAACAGAGACAGACAGACTCAGTACTGTTTTCATCATATGCAAATTGCTGTGCGAGAGTAAAAAAACTTTATCTCTCACGTGATTGGCTGTTGGCTGCTGTTTGAGTGTTAATAAAACTTCTGAATTTTCATTCTTGACCTATTTTCAAGCGATTCGGCTGTTGGGATCGGTGGGTTCATCGACCAGCTCCTCGGGAAGTGAACTTTCTTAGCATTCTGAAGTTAGCTTTTGTTATTGTGCACGTATCACTGCTTATAGACGCATTACTTGTTTTTTCACCAACTTATTACTCAGACAATTTTACCAACTAATATCAGGTATTTTTAATTCTGGCTTTTTATGTTTATAAGTTTAAACTTAGGTATGTTATATACCCGTAAACTTCAAGTTTTACTTGGAGTTCACTGGTTGGGCGTATATTTAAGCTAATAATAATACTTAACTGAAGATTGTTTCAGCTATTTTTATTTTAATGTCTGATGATGAAGCTGAAGAAAGGCAAGAATACTTTCTTTTTTGTGTTGTTGTTACCATAAAATTATGCAGCCTCGTCTTTGCATTGCATATGTTCGCCCATAAAAATTTAGCAAGAAGTTATCAGCTCCAGTATTAACAATTAAAGTTATATACTGTCAACTAATTAACAGTGTCTGCTTGCAGCCTACAGCCCTGACATGGAGCGTCGTTTTCCTCCGTTTCGTGTTTATTCCTTTCCTATGGTAATAAATGTTGGTATTGCTAAGCAATCATGGAATAAGGAATCCAGAAACAGTCCAGTCCGATTCTATTGTGTTGATCATCTCCAGAATATCTGCGATGTTAGCCAACTGCTTTCTACTCACCTTGTCTACAGATTCCACGCAAAGCTTTTTCAACAATTGCTGCAGCTGTTTTTTTGTCTCTATCATTTTTGCAATACTATTATTATCATATACTTTTGATGAAGTATGTACTTATTTCATATAATATGCTGATTTTAGCATTATGATTTGAGAACTTTGGAGAAGTTCCTGAAAACGATGGACTCCCCTCACTAAATGCATATTACACTATTCATCTACCGTATGACTCAAGCAGAAGATTCCCTTGGCCATGATGTCATTTCGTAATTATTGTTTTATTCTACATCGCCTGCCCACTGACATAGATATAATCCTGATGCAGATATGATATGTGATCGGTATTTTCTTGCGGATAACAAAAATAAATTTTTTTGATGCTGCTCATTTGTATGTTTTGGTGGGAAAACGATGCGCTGCAGTAGAATTAGAATAAGTTAATGCTCTTCATTCAACAGTTTGTAGCAAATCCAAAAATGATTTGGGAAACAAATTCTCAAGATTCATCAATAGTAGGGACATCCGAGAACTTCACTAACTCCAATTCCCATGCTTAATGTTACCTGCACATATATGCATGCATTATGTGAGATGATATCCAGGTCAGGGTACAGACATGTCCACAATTCGGTAAGAAGACAAGTCTTCGTATGACTGAAAGCAACTGACATACTTCATATCTCATAGTGAATAATATTACAGAAGTCTCATATTTCCAAAAAAATAGTGTCTCACTTTGCATATCAGACATATTGATTGTCTCCTTAATCAGGTGGTAATGACCTACAATGTCCCCGTTGCATTCACTGCCAATATGATACACTAACAATCTTAACCAACAGCTTATTTGCCATAATTCGAACGCTGATACAGGACTAAGTCTAGAGATTACGATTTCCCTAAGATGTTTCATTACTGCCTTCACTGATTCCTCTTATGTCCGATTACTATTCATTCCATAATTGTTCATAATATGAAGTTCAGTATTTGGATGAAGTGTTAAATTCATAAATGGAGTGTTTTTATATATTAACAGCGTGTAACAATATGCACAACGAACAAAACTCGTGGAAACAAATGATATGTATGTCACAAATTATATATATATGAGTATTCGATTCCGATCCCATGTAATGGCAACAACAAGCATAAATATTCCTTTATTCTACCAAACAGTAAAATAATAATGATAAATTCAAAATTATTAATTGTCTCAAATGCTGAATAAGTCCTGCATACATCATTGAACAAGCAATGAGACTGCTAACAGACTTGTTTATGTACTTAGAATTCATAAAGACCAAATCATTTCAAAGGCTTTCGTTATGCCAACGTCATAAGAGTTAAAATGCAACAAACCAGCCAGCAAAGAAATACTAAGTACATAAACAAGTGGACCTTGAACGACCTTTGCCAACGCTGGACCAAGCACAAACGGACGAGCATAGTCCTAAAATATTCTATATGCAAATTTTTTTTTCAAAGTGCATTAATCCTTCTATTCAGCACTGTCGTTGACTAGTTCTTTTGATTACTGAAGTACTCTAACAGCGACTCTTACTTCATGTTACATCCCTTCAGTACTTTTCGTACTTCTCTTTACACGACAAATATTCTAAACCCAGCATCTCTACAATACAACTGACTTATCAAGGATGAAGTTCGATGGGTCTAAAAATATGATTTCTGAGTAAGAATGCTAACATCAGTTCATAGCAAGTATTTAATGCTGCTATTCAAGTCGAGAAATGCTGCATTTGCTACCACTAGTTCACATATAGTACTTACGCTGAATAAGCCCTGCATACCCCAATGGACATGTAATGCGATTGAAACTGCTAAAGCTGCATCCATGAGAGGTCCATGAACGAAATACGACGCTGGAAGAAGTGGAAGCATACCAGCTACACAGTAGCGTTCTACTTTGAAGAGTGTCGAATGATCATGTGTTTCTTTGAACTGCTTTCGAGCACTACAAATACCGTATTCTAATACTATAAAAGAAGCAATTAATCAACAGGATTGTCAGCATATTTTGAGTAAATAACACGCAAGTTACTATACAAAATCTAAAATTCTTAATTTTTAAGAATAAATTTTTAAAAAGTGATAGGAGAACAATTTTTCGTCTTATACGAAATAAGATTCGATACTGCATGCCTCACCTACAATTATTATTTAGCATTTTAAGTAGTCGAGTTCAATTTGCATTATTTCTGGTAATAACTGTAGCAGTCACTACATGCAGTACCGAATCTGTAGTGACTGCTACAGTTATTACCAGAAATAATGCAAATTGAACTCGGCTACTTAAAATTTAAAAGTATGACACACATACACAATAGGATCAAATTGCGGTAGTTCTGGAATTAATCCAGCCACAGAGCGTTGCATCAAGCGCGGATATACCAATCGTGAACTGACAAGAGCAGTACGTCGAATAGTAGCCGAAAGCATCTAACACAAACACATATAACTCAGATGCAAAATTTCGCATCTTCTAGCGCAATCGTTAAAATCGTCAAAAACTTGCAAAAATGGATACTAATCTTCGAGAGGAGATTAGTGGCCATTCTAGATGCATTCTTTAAAAATACCCTCACTATTAATTTAAGGGAAACAAAAAAATACAATTACATCTATAACATATCGAAACATATCGTATAGGGTGAAAGGTACAAACTCATGCACATGCACACGTACGCACGCACACTCACACACATTCACGGATACTTACACCAAGCAAGACTACCCTGTATAACACACCGAACTGCACTTTATAAACCCTGTTTACTAAACTCACGGAAACGAACAGACGAACGCATACAGAGCACATGACGAACACACCACACCCCTCACTTATGTTGCAGCTTGCGCGCTAGTAAAACATGGCCCGGCCTCAGGTGTTTTCAGGACGCTTTAAGGTGTTTTCAGGACGCTCAGGTGTTTTCAGGACGCCGTAAGCTAAGGCTACATCCCAAGCAAAGTTGTCGGTGTAGTGTGAAAAATTTGTTGATAGCGGTCTCTGTGATGGTGGTGGTAATTGAAACTAATGCGAATATTTGATTTAATAGCGACTAAGTACTTGCTGTTTCTGGGAAAATGATGATTTGTTCGCACAGAATTGTGACTTTGGTAAAGTATGTTGGAGCGTGGTTTATTCATTGCAGACAGCAGTAAAGCTGTTACAATATTATTGCTTTTCTATTTTATCTATTGCTTCATATTGCGCTGGCTGTAGCTGCTATCAATTTGAGTATTCACGATCAGTATCAATGATGGCTCTGTTAATATGTTATGATTCGCGAAGTGAACAGTGTCTAAAATTTGCTGAAATTATTGCCGCGAAAGCTAAGAAATACAGATTAGAAGCAAAAATTCAAGTAATGAAAAGTAGTGAGAGTACGGTGAGTATAATTAATGTTAATTAGTGTAATATTTTTTTAAATTAACTGTCATCAGTGCTTGTCCATTAATAACCACCGTCAAGTGCCAGAATTTCTTAATGTAACATTCTGTGCAACGGATAGTAGAGATAAGGAGGCGCAGTTCTATACCAAGTTTTTTGAAAGCTGTAATGATGTTTCTTTCCCGCTCCATCACTCAGCATTGATTGTTTTTTGTAATATTATAAATTAACTAGTCTTAGATATAAAGAAGGAATAATAGCAAATATATATCAGTAACATGAGTACTGAGGAAATTTTGCTCAACTTGCTACATAGATTTTAGAAAAAGTAGTTTATCTCATAGCTTTAAGAATTTCAGTTCTTCATTGAAAAAGATCCGCTTATCATAGTGATGTGTTCGTATATGAACGATGGTTATAAGAATGCTTCGTTTTTTATGCGAAATCTTTCGCAAGATTTACTAGCAGAAGATTTTTTATGTCAAACTGCTTTTGCACTTCTCGGTAAACATTTGTGTTCCTTTATATCTGAATTATGTTTTTCAATTCGTTATAATTACTTTTTTTTTCTAATTTTAACATTTTGTAGATGGTGTTTTGAATTACAGGTTTCAGAGATTCGGATCTAAGGTTGCAAAGCAATTCACAAGTGATAGAAAAAAACTTGCTGCATCTGAGTGCTACGAAACTTTTTGATACAGAAATAGTAACTACCGATGACACAGAGTTACCTTTGCTAGAAATTTGTTAAAAAATGATTAAGTTACTTTCCATGTGGTCAATTTTTCTGTTGTATAAGTAAACACGTAATACCCATCACTTTAGATAGTGCTATGGTAGTAAAACTACTCCCTTTATCGGGAACTATCTTTTTTATTTAGTAGCTACTTAATCTCACTTGGTATCTTCCTTCTCACTCATGGTAGAATTGTATTTTCTAGATCCGGATCCGTTATTGAGTTATGGCTGAAAAACTTATTCATTGCTATTGGGAACTGGTTTCACTTGACTTATATCCCTATAGAATCATGGGAAAGTACATTTGGTACTAACGATATAAAGCAAAAATCGCATTTTGAAGAGAAAGAAAAAAGCAAGGTAAAATTTCATCGCGTAAATTAAGAGTAAAAGCTTAAAGTTCATTATTTTATTCTTGGCTTCGATTAACATTTACAAATAAAGTTTTGCAAACTTTTTTGTAAAGTAAGCAACATAGCGTCGTATTCATGTGATTTTATGATCATTCTTGTCCATTTGCGTCGAAATCATATACTATGTATCATGCATAAAGTTATGAGGTACAGGATAATTTGGATGGGACTTCGGAAGTGCTAAAAGTGTATCCAGTTCAATGGCCTGATGATGCTCCCTGCCTTATTAAAGGTGACCGTCATTGTTCGTATTAGGTGTTCTCCATTTTAGATACATACATACTGTGGTTTATGCGTATTTTGGCTAATAGGATGGCACTTATGCAAATGAAAACTGTTATTTTCAGGAGCTCAAAAGCTTCAAAAAGATGAGAAATTGAGAGTGCCAGTTGCTAAAGCTCCATATTTGAATTGCGAAATTACTCCTGATAAAACTGTAAGTCTCTGTGTTTTTGTTTGTGGCATGTATTTTCGGAATTTCGATTTCTTAAAATGCCATACATTTTAGGATATTGAACATGCATGTTGGCAAAATGGATGTAGCTTGGCAGGGGCCTTAAGTCAGAAATATTATGGGCATGTTGTGGAAATCAGACAACTAACTAGTCCAACAGTCCGGAAACCGAAGCAAGAGATAATAATCGATCTAGTTGATAATGTTGAGCAAGGTTATGAACCAGGCGATGCATTTTATTTTATCGCACCAAATCCTCGAGAAGAAGTTAATTTTATTTTAGAAAGGTGAGTTTTCTATTAGTCGAAATAGAGTGTGGTACATGTTAAAATAAAGAAAAATGTGCAATGAATGCAGCATTGATTATGTAATGAATGCATTATAGAATGAATGTTTTCTTCCTTCAAAATCATTCTTTTCTAGATTAGGACTTTTGGATGTTGCTGATCAGAAACTTATTATTACTGCTATGCAAGATTTTTCTTTACCGCCATATATACCAAATTTCTCATCACTAAGATACATTTTAACGTGGTGTCTTGATATCAGACGATCTCCTGGTCGAGTAAGTTATTTTTCTAATGATAAATTCCTCAAAAAAATTCTAACAAATAAGTTATTTTGATACATTCTAGCCTCTCCTTCGTGTTCTCAGCGATTGCACAAGCAATGAACATGAGAAAAAGCGCCTTTTGGAGTTATGTAGTGCTCAAGGAGTTGAAGAATTTACGAAATATGTTCGCCAGGTGAATTTTGAGTCAAAAAACTTCGATTTGTTATGTAATTTTGGTATTGTGCATTTCGTTGTATTCTTGTGAATTACTGTATTATTTATTTCTTCACATTTGAGGCATGATTTTGCATGATAAATATTCAGCAATTGAGGTCATTAATGATAAATAAATCACAGTTTTATTTTTGCTTATCGTGATTGCTTTCAGAGATAAAATAGAATCGCTTTTTATGACTGTTTCAGGCTGGTCTTTCGCTTGTGGATTTTCTTTTGAACTTTCCTTCGTGTCGTCCTACTGCTGAACGTTTAATTGGTTAGTTAAATTATTGTATTTTCTTGCTGTGACTTGAGTTTTTTTTTTCAATAATATTTTCTAGAATTATTACCGCGATTGCTGCCTCGCCCGTACAGTGTGAGCTGCATCAGAGAAATTTGGGGTAGACGTCTTCGTTTTGTTTTTTCGCTCTTACATTTCGACGCCACAAATGGTCGACGTTACTGCCGGTTCGGTCTTACTACTGGATGGTTCACTTCACTTAAAAAAGGAAGCCAAGTCGTAGTTAGTTGTGTCTCTGTCATATTATACATTTTCAGTGGTAATTCTAGAAAAGCTTTTCAATTATTTCTTGTGTGATTTTAGATGAAGTTGTGGTGTACTTGAAGGCCACTGATTTTTGTATTAATAAGTAATTAATATTACACTTTTATCAGTGATTTAAAGACTGCATCTGTTTCAGATGTTATTGAAGGAACCTTCTCGATTTCGTTTACCGCCACCCATACATATCTCATTTGATATTACACGCACGCCTCTTATTATAATTTGTACAGGAACTGGAATAGCACCGTTTTTATCTTTTCTAGAAAAGTTGTAAGTATTGTTATCAGTAGTAATATTTAATTGTTCCATTTACTAGTTCGAAATCCATCTAAGACTTTTGACTAACTTGATTCATTTGTTATACAATTGCAGAAATTTGCTCGGTGCTGGAAGATATAAAGTACGACGAGAAATCTACTTCGGCGTTCGCAATATTAACACTGATTGCATATATCGGTAAGTTTCATGAAATCTGTTTTATAGTATCTGTAGTAGATAGTAGTTTCATTTAAAATAGTGCAACGGAATCGATTGTGTTTATAAATCATCCATGTATCATTGATTATTTCAAAAACATTGCAGAATTTGAAATTTTAATGCTGTCATCATCACTGTATGGTCTTATAATATATCTACCTACTAGAAACATAACTTTGTTATTGTAAGCAGAGTTTCACAAATAGGAAATTTTTTTTGAAAACCATTCTATTACAAGGTGCATGAACTTAGTGATCTGTTAAACAAGTTTGTTGATGTAAGACACTTATAATTACTTTCTTCCACTTTGAATATAGCTAGTTTTTCTTTTCATACCAATATAAATTCAAGTCTTTGTAGTGAAAATATCATGCAACATGTGAAGGCCAATGTCCTCTCACAGTTTTTTCTATGTGAATCAGCACCTGAAGTTGGCGTAACGAACAAAAAGTATGTGCAAGATGTTCTGCTAGAACGTGGTCAGGAGGTAAGCTTTCTGGCATTCATAGTTATCGTTAGCATCTATCATTTGATAACAGTTTAACAACTCAACAATGTCTCTGCAATAAGCCTTGGTTGTATTGTATAATAATTATTAGCAGATCAACTGCTTTTAAAATTTTCTGAAAGTTTTTTCATAAAGTTTCATTTTTTTAGTTAGCAGAAATAATAATACAGAAGAAGGAAGATGAACTTCATCCTCCTATTATTTTTGTGTGTGGATTTGTGCAGATGGCAAAGGCTGTGAAAGACATTTTTGTGCGTATTTTCAATTTGTTTTTGAGTAAGTCGTTGAAAGTTTTTACATTGGACAAATAAGGCTTTAGCATTCAGATGTCTTTTAAAAGAAATGAGGGAGGGATCTTTCTATTCGAGTCCTCTATTGTTTTCGATCAATTACCTACTTGATTTTCTCGGTTTTACTGTAATTTATTTTGCGAAATTCTAGATAAAAGTGAAGGTGATGCGAAACTGTTTTTGAAAGAACTGAATGTAGTGAACCGTTATGTCGAAGATGTTTGGTAGGACACTAAAATTCTGGCAGTCAGTTTCTCTAACGATTAACATGCTACAGATACAGTGAGAAAATAAAATTGCGACTTTAAATTTTGCATTGGAACTTGCTGGTTAGATACGTTATAAGAAAATATGTATCATCTTCTCTTTCTCTGCTGTTTCTTTGCTTTTCTTTATTGTAATTCTATTCCACAAACTCTCTTTTCGAAGGTGTTTTGGATTTGTACTTTAGAATCCTTGTCACTGTGCCTCGTTTACGATAACTAGCGAGCATGACGTTTGTTGGAGCCAAAAAATCAGCGATCTCGGAATGATTCAAGCGTTGGAATAATGCTCCGTTCTCGCCTTCCGAATGTTCGTTATACTCCAGTCTTTAAAAACTGATACTCTAATCGCAGCATAAATAATATAATCTATGTTAATTTGTTGCTTCAAGCATTTAAGATAGCCTGTAAGTGTGCAGACTGGAATTCGTAAAAAATTCATGTCTTGATTAGCTCTCACAAACGAGAGCGAAAATTGCAAATTTTGTAAGGTGCCATAAATATATATTGAGAGGTTACCGGAAATCGAGAAAGTGTTGGTCGACAACGAGATTCATTGCTGAATCTAAAAGATTTGCAAACTGCTGTTCATAGGCGATATCCAACATCTTCACAGCATCATCTAAACTTACTTTTTGCCAGTTCTGAAAAAAGCAGGAACTTCTTGAGACATAACTAGTTGTTTCCAAGATAATAATGCAGTTTTCAGTTTTGAACTAGCAACCTTAATGAGGATCTGGTTAAGTCTTTCTGATACGTGATTGATAATCTCGTTTTGTTTTAGTGGCTTTATTTTCCTGATACATTGCAAGAACTTTCGTACTTTATCAATCTGATAGACATCCAAGTCATAGGTTCCCATGAAGGCAAATTCAAGGACCTGAGTAACGGATATACGTCGCATTAATGTTTTATATAATGATATAAAATATGGAATGTATTTGATCAGTCTAACACTTTTATATTTCTGTAGATGACTTTAATAAACATTGGAAATCGTATATGTGTGAAGGTGAAGCGGTAAAACTAATTTTAGGAATCTGCCAACATGTAGTCTGGGTTAAGCAGCTACCTAATCGAGAATAACCTTTTCAATAATATCGTAGTCAAAATCGAGAGAAGTTGAAGTTACGAATGGATTGCTCGTAATAAGCTCGTTGAAGAAATTGGTTGATAAATAAAGCAAATATTTGGAGGTTCGTATTTCGCCGTTATTTGCTGTTATTTTGAAATCTCTGAAAATACGGATGACGATTTGGGAAAAATGTAGGGAAGAGTTGTAATTCAATATTTGTTCCAACGCAGGAAAGGTTTACTCTAAATATTAAGTTCCGACATCTATTTGCAAGTACAGCATTTTCTCCGATACAGCTGTTGAAGTTAAGCAAGGATTAGAATTAATTGATTACTTATGTGAGAAGCAATGCACCTTTGACTTGTGAGGATCTCGTTTAATGCCAAGGAGCGGGGATCGTCTGGAGCTACACATGAGGGTGGGATAGTTTCACGACGTCGCAATGTAGTGAAGAAGTCTTTACTTTTGAAAACAAGCTTCATCATAAGAACTATTTCTCCACCATCAAAAGCTTGTGAGTGAAGAGCTCCAAACATTGAAAGGAAGAACTGGCTGTCTTCGGGGACGACGAACAGTCCGCTAAACGCCCTCTCCTCTAGTTCCATTTCCCTCGCTTGAAAGCACAATTTAGCAGTGATTAAAACTTCTAGAAAGAAATAAGCTCCCTCGAGCCATTCCATCTCTGCATTATAAAAGAATAAATTTTTTGGATGCCAATTTATAGTACACTGTAAATATCTATGCTGTAAACAGTTTACATTGCTCGTAGTTTCTGGAAACGGCATGGTACTTGAAAAGTATTGTTCCGGGCGGATAAGCTTCATCAATTCGCATTCGTCGCTGTGCAAGGCGTACTTGCGGAGCTCGCCGATCACATGATATATCGAAGAACCTAATAAATTTCTTAGAGTGCATAATAATGCAAAAAGTCATTCGTTTGGAATTGTGGTACTTGCTCAACTCATCATTTCAACTTAGTCATTCTTAGAGCAGTTCAAAGCATATTTGTTATAATAATATGAGCACAATGATCATGTGGTCAGATTCTTATTTCACCATCACCAACAGTGGTGTGAAAAAGTAACTATTTAACTTTCCAAATGTAAACTGCACTTCGCTTCTTACAGGTGTATTTTCTACAGTCAATCCACATGGGTAGTAATGTACAGATAATAATGAAAAATTAGTCAGATAAAAATAGTAACCAGTCGATAGAACGACTGCCGTATGTTGAAGAAAATGTTGCTGAATGAATACGAGTATCCACGTATGCGATAGTAAACGTGAAACGATGAATAAAAATCAACTCGTCGATTTCACGATTTTCATCACCTAAGAAGCATTCGATCATTGTGCTACCTCCCAACACACTGGAACTTGAAAACAATGACTTCTTTTAAAATAAATAGCATTTTTAAAGTGCACTTCTTGACAATACATAATTTTAATTCCTTTGCGCGTGTAAGTCATGCATACTACCACGTGTGGTATCGTATAAGCCCAATTGAAATAACACTAATTATTTTTCAAGAGAGTTATCGAAATCCAAAATCAGTAGGAAGAGACATAAATCTTTAATTAGTACCAAAAATTCCTTCAACAGAGATAAGTGAAGTGAAAGTTTTACAAGATGTTATGACGCAAAATTTAAAAGTCAACAGTTTCCACGATGTAAAACAATGGTATGATGAAATACAGCATTCATACAGTATACATTTAAAGTTTGCGAGAGTCAGCACTTATTAAATAAGACATTATCGTTATTTCTTTTGTAGCAATTACATTCTTCGGAAAGACAGAAATGCAAAATAAATGAAAACTTTTTCATTCAGAATATTTCAGACAGCGAATTCATAAGTGAAATCGTACCAGTCTTGTATCCAGCACCAAAATGATTCCTTAAACTGATAAATGCTCACAATGAGCTTTCATAAACTGAGTACAACAAATCCATATAAGCATAGTTCAAGTTTTGTGTAATTTTCTACCTTAACACTTAAATTTTCAGACAAAATCTGGTTCATGCTATTAGAATAAAAGGTGTTACTGCTTTAACTAAATGTATGTAATTTGGCTAAAACAGCAGAATTTCAATTCCTGCGAACGATTACCTTGTCTGTGTTTTACATAACAAAGTTAACAAATATTGCAAACAGTGGCATAATCACTACACGACTGCTTTGAAAAAAAGTACAAGACTAACCAGTGATTCAGATGATGGAATAATTCATAAAGCAGAACACGTTTCCGAGTGCCTTTTAATTCAGGAATAATTTTGCGATAAGCATGATAAACATCACTGCTAAATCCCCCAAACATTTGCATAATACCCAATTCATATTCACTATGAGCATAAAATGAAGCTGGATCGAAAATTACTGGAAACACCAATTTGTATTAAATATAATTACTTTAGCTATCAAAAGTATCAGGAATTGAACCATTATGCCATTGAATATACACTAATGCTACATATTAGTATGCTAAATGATGAGTGACTTGATATAATCGGAACAGGAACAGTGAAAAAAAGAAAGGAAACCTCCCCCCTAATCAGAACAATACGACTTTGAGAAGGCTTCCAACAAGAAAAAATTTACTTGCAATTAACGATACACACAATTAGTGTGATACTGCCAAAGATAGTAAACTAACAAAAGAGTTCACCTGGCTCACTTACAGAATAGGAATAATTTCCAGACCACAAGTCTCCATGCACAAGAGCTGGAGTAATTATTTCAACATCTTTGAAATAAGCTGGAATTTTCCGTTCCAACTGAGGCCATAATGATAACAAGTCCCTATCGTTATATTTCTGCAACAACAAACTATTCATAACTTGAAAAGTCGAACTGTTCACAAGTTATTGGAC